GATCTGACGGCAAGTGCTCATCTTTCCTCTGGCCGAACACGAAAGAATTAAGCAAAAGTCAGGCAAAAACTTCCTCTTCAGCCGATGCTATGCCTTCACCTTCCACTCAAATCGGCTGGCAACGTGCGCCCTTTGATTTCATTGCCGGATGGCCTACCATCACTTCGAGTCGTAGTAGAAGACTGGCCAATGGCAGTGGCTCTTCTGGCGTTGGTTACCATTCTATCGGTGCCAGTGAACTTGGGGGAAAGAAGAAGACCAAGGCTGAAAATGGCATTCAACACGAGGCGGCTGGGTGCCCTGTCCGAGTGCCCACGGAGACGGAGGTTCTCATGCGGCGCTGTTTCGAAGCGGTGCGTAGGCACCACTTTTGGGGTCAGAACTGTTGGCTCACGGGACTGAATGAGCGCAGACGTATTGTTAACCGACTGGCTTTAGTCATCTGGGTTGAGATAACAGGAGCAATGGGGCATGTTGGGTAGGTGTTATTTCTATCTTTTCCATTTATTTCTTCATACAGGGTCCCTTTATTCCTGAGCTTTCACAAGCTTTCATTATGCCTAACGATACGTAATGCCCAAGTTCGTTTTGTCATTCATCCTTGATTGTCATTGATAATGTATTTATTCTATGTACTAGTTTACTTTATTTATTTTATATATTTTATGTATGTGTGATGATTTTTCAACTGGAAAATGTATAGTGATACCCTTTGGGTCCTATCCGAAATCCAAGCGAACTGTACAGAGTATGCTAAAATTTTCAATTAGATAAATCATCTAATCTCATTTAGGATTGATTCATACCAATTATTTTTGTTTGAAGCTAACAGAAAATTGTCTAAATTCTAAACTCGTATATGCTGGCGAATTTTTATTCTGCTCAGCTTTGCTCTTTCATCTTTGCATTGTCCCACCTTGTTTACATTGCTGCTTCATTTACTGTCCACACCTTTGCGTAAATCTAAAGTAACCTTGAGGTTTATCGTTTTCTCCTACAAATACAGGGCAATCTTTTACAAGACAACTCCTGGATGTGAGTCGTGGATGATGGATTCTACAGAGGGTGTGGGGCGACAGCGCCGACGATTGACCGCTTGTCGTCTTCTCCTAGCACCTCGCTTTCTCCAGCAAGAAGGTCGAAATAAGTTGGGTAAGAATGTTGCATGCCATTGTTGCTACTTGTTGATAGCGATACTAATACAAGTTATTTTTGATATTACCAGCAGATAATTTATATTTCGTGTAAGATGATTAATTGAATTGCAGATAGCATTGCTCTGTACTGTCATGGTTCGAGCCGCTCTGGGGATGTTGATAAGATCTAGACGGGGCCGAAACTGCAGTCCAGTTTAACGTAAATTCTACTCATATCAGTGTGGGAAAATTCAACTATTAGTCCCTTTATCGCCTTAAAATAGGAGAAATGCTTGCAGGTTTGTCTACTTAAGCCAAACCTGGTACATTTCTTGAACACCCGAAGGCTGATCTCGCCTAGATTCAACCACTTTGTCTCCAATTGCCTATTTCTGGCCCAAAACCGAGTCTCTTGGTCCTCTTCCATATTTGTCATGCTTGCTTCCAGCGTCGGACAGAAGACTTAGTACATCCACAATCATACTTTATTTTAATATTCCTTATATATGCACAGTCTTTTGTTACTTTTAGCCCGCTACAGATGTCCAAATGCACTTGCCTACCTTTTTTCCTCGCCGATGGCTGAGCCGATCAGCTCTCGCCATCCACTCTTCGATGAATCGACCACTTTTTCAGCGCTTGGCTGTTCATCTTCACTTCGCAAACCGTCTGTCAATACACCTCCGTATTTCGGCTTTGGTTTCTCGCAACCTCCTGCCTTTCCTGGCTGTCTCATATTGGCACCGATTGCTTCTTTCCTGCAACAAGACCGCGAAGAGACCAGAAAGCTGTTGCCCTGTATCCTGCCGGGACCATCTGCTCACCCGGCTGTACTACACGCACTGGCCGGTCCACCCGATCAACTGGCCGAGGCCTTGCGCGAACGGCCGGGTCGTAGGATCTACAGCTTTTCTTCGGTTCAGGTGCCCCCGGGTGAACAGTTCCTCTGGCCAGCTCGGCTCGTTTCGGTGGCGCAGACATGGTCTGGCCCTGCCCTATCACTGCCGGGGGATCCAGCATCTGCGGGCATCATCAGCTCTCCGTCGAGTGTTGAAGCGCTCGCAAACACACCACTTGAAGGTGATCTTGTTCTCGGTCGTAGGTGGTTACGGTTCCAATCGGATGATTCTAAAGTTGGTGCTGTTTCTGGCCTCCTGCCGCCGAAAGTGTCCACAGCCGCGAATGCTGTGGAGAAGGCATCAAATGGCTTTGATAGAGCGGCCGCATGGAATAATTATGGCGAGCCTGACGAATTTAATGATCATGATGACACATATGGCGACTTAGATGGGGGCGAAAGTGAAATCTGTTCGGGAAATGGACAGAACGAATCATGCTCAAACGAGGAAACAGACGAAAAAGGATACAGAAGTGGTGCGGACAGTGGTGACGATGAAGATGCCAAGACAGCACAAAAACGAAAGGTTACTTGGCATTTTTTTAACGAATAACCCAATATTTTATATTATTAACTTTCGGTAATTCGTCCATCGAAACTGGGTTTCGATTGATGTAATGAGATAACATTGCCTCATTTTCAGAGGCTATTGTGTAGCTCGTTTTAATGAATTATGCTTTCAAGCGAAAATGTGACGAAAAG